ATACGGCATCGGGTATACCTTTACGGACGACCCACACGTGACCTTACAACATTACAATTGAATTCAACTCTTTCTATCCAATCTAGAAGGATTATATATTACGTATCTACCTATATGTTACGCTGGTTTGGATATAAAAAAAAAATGGTAGAATAGAGTAACGAAAGAAGTATACAGAGCAGATATTAATAGGACCATCGGTAGAGGGCGGCCTAGATGGACATATACTGACCAGATTGGCGATATATTAACTCGTCGAGTACCGGTTTTATAGACACAATTAAAGAACAATAGGTCGCGGTCACCGGTGACCGCTTGGTGTTTGACAGTTTAAAGAAGGGCCAAATTAAAAGTACCCTTAATCGACGAGCATGCATGAATACATTGATGACTGTTGATGAAGCGAATGAGGCATGAAGGTATCGTAGCTACGCATGCAGGCGTCTAGTTATGTATGCATGTATGTTCCTGTGAATGCCTGCATATTGAGCTATACATAACCTGTTTATCATGGTCCCGTTTTGTATTATGTTTCCGCAAATTCGATGGTGAGTTTATACTGGTTTTCACGGCTTGATGTGTGTAGGGCACTTCTATAATGTTTATATAACTGCTAAACGAGTTTAAGGTTACATTTTACAAATATGTCTTAGTAAAAGATCGATATCTGAAATTGTATATCTATAGTGGTGGATGTCGCCCTCTGTTACATGGGGCTTCAGACTGGCTCAAAGTGGATCTTACATTTCAAAATAAGTAAAACTATAAGAATATTTTCCTCTTGCTAAGTTGTAATAAGTTAACACAAAGTTATTGATTTGTATTTCTAATTTTAATAAATATTTTGTAAAAGTTTAATCATATTCTCTTTTCATATGTTTGAAGTTAAATAAATATTAGAATAGAGAGCTTGAGATAGATAGTCGTACTAAGCCTGCACTGCACTGCCTAGTACTTTCATTCCGATATACTTGTTTGGCTTCGTACAATTTTATACCTAAACACATATAGCAAAACCGTAAATCGTCGCTTCGTTTCTCACTATTGTAAAAATATTACTTAAATTATTATGTTTTCGGTTTTCTCACGTAATATTTTGACGAGGAACTCGACTACTTTCAAGCCATGCTAGAGGCTCACGCCTGACGCAGGTCCTCACCGGACATGGAAGTTTCGGGAGGTACCTGTGTCTGATGGGGCGGGAGGAAACGCCCGGGTGTCATCACTGCGAGGACCGCCCTGAGGACACGGTGGAACACACAGTGGGAGAATGCCCTGCGTGGGCTGAGCACCGCCGTGCCCTCAGGGAAGTGATCGGCGATGGCGACCTCTCGCGTCCGGGCCTAGTGCAGGCCATGATGCGGAGCGAGGGGGACTGGGATGCCGTCTCCTCCTTTTGCGAAGCAGTCATGCTAGCTAAGGAGGAGGCGGGACGCGTGAGGCAGCGAAGCGCTGCCTCCTCGCAACCCAGCCATCGCGAAGGACACACCGGGCGTCGGGGATCGCGGGACGATCTCCGGCCACCGTAAGCGCGGGCCTGCGGACGGCGAGCATGGGTGGCTCCCCGTCCGACCAGAAACAGACCCGAGCGTACGGCGCGTCGCGTTCCGCGCGCGCCTCAAAGAGCCATCAGACCACCACAGATGGGGGCCCAATAGGGCCGATGCCGATTCGGAGTCGCGGAGAACCTAACGGGTAACCGGGGCTCCGGCTCGACGTGCAGGAGAAGGAACGGGGTGGTTTTTAGTCAGTAAGAGTCTGACACTCCCTTCCGCCTCACCCAGGCGGGAGCAGTCATTCGATGATTTTCCACCCTTAAAAAAAAAAAAAAAAAAAAAAGAGGCTCATATTCATGAGCAGCATTTCGTGAAACGCAACGCCGCGACTGTCGCGCTGCTACCGCTATAGCAGTTTAGTATGTCTCACGAAAGTTACAATACAAAAATATTACTTAACGTCACTGAATTAATAACCACTACAAACTGAACTATTATTATCAAATATTGGTCTCCTACAAGGTAAACTAAAGTACCTATCAAATGTAATAGGCATGCATACCTATTTAGCTTCATTGTGCTAGTCATATCTCCATTATTACCGCAGGCTACCACTATCGTTGTGATCAGCCCATAACGTTTATATCCCTTTTAGGAGAAGCGAGTACATGTGTACGTATAAGTAAATAAATAGAAGCTGTGGGGGGGGGGGGCTGCCACCACTCACTGGATATTGCATTTGGCATTTTCCGATAGTACACGTCCAAAGTGATATGAGGTGGCCCGAGTTACCGGTCTCTGTTTGCTCTGCAACGTTTCTACTTTAACTTTATACGCTCCTTCAAATGTTATCGAGATTGAATTCTTTTCACGTTTATTGAAAGTGCAGTGCAGCAAATATATACTTTATATCTTCATTCTATAGGTTATTTCTCTATAATGGATACTTTGTATGAATGGAGCTTTGTATGGCTTTCTAGTTATAATAACGTAACATCCTCTTTGATTGAGTAACTGAAGATACCTTCAATAAAACCATGCGTCACCTGATATATCGAATACTTGCCTATCATTCCTGCTTTTTGGCAACAAGCATCAAGCCTACATATCTCAGTAACGAATAACAGGTTATTTATCTATAAAACTGATATCCCAGTCAGAACATCATACTTTAAAATATCCAGTCAGGTTATAAAATGCCACCTCCGTTGAACTGACATATACATATAAGAACTTCATACTGAAAAATATCGCTTACAATGTCCACTCAGGTTATGTACTAAATATATGTAGATAGGTACATATATGTTGAAAGAGCTTGTTCGGTGCTCCCACTATTTAATTAGTTACCTGTAGGTACGTATGTAGGGCTGTCAGGTGCATAGCTCGTCGCGTTCGTTGCCAGCCACCGCCCACGTCAGCTCCCGACCCTGCGTTCAATGAATCCCGTAACGAGCTACATCGCAATTAACGTCAAAACAATACGCTTTACAATTAATTGTTTTGTCAAAGCTAATTATTTACCTATTGTTTGATATTATAGTTATTTACCTAGCCTACGTTTCAGTCCTTTTCTGTGCCTAGATTCGTTTATTCGTTCTTTGGTCTAGTGATAAAAAGACAGAAGCCTTTGGTTTGGACGTTTACCATTCTACATAGTTTCATCTCTAAATTTCTTAACAATCCCATCACAAATAACAATAATAAGTACGTCTAATAATAGTTTTAATCTTAAATAGACCTAACTATTTACTTATTAATTTCTCGTAGTAGTCGTAGGCGACTACGAGACTGCTACGAGCGCTACGAAAAGAACGCTTGGACATAATACACGTAGAACATTGGTATTTTTATCTGAGATACTTTTAATTAAAATCTTTAACGAGGTCGGCATTCTCAGCGTTTTTATGCAACTTAAAATAACCCAGGATTGAAGAGGTTTTAAAACTGCGAGGTTGCTCTCGTTTTACTTATCCAGCACTTCGCCTACGCCCATCCCTCCGAGCTATAGCATACGCCCACCACTGACCTACGTCATAAGTCAATAGCAAATCGAGGAAATGTATCCAAGTTGTAGCAAATGTAAACACGTTTCGACTATAAATCGGAAGCTACGGGATAGGACTAGAACCCTGATCGATATTCTGTTTTCTCAAACTGTTTATTATTCGGGTGGTACATTTAGCTGTTTGTTTGAATGTTATTTAATTTAATGTAAAAAAACTAAAATAAAGCGAAAGTTTCTTCGAAACTAGGAATGAGTTTCCGGAGAATGTTGTATGAAGCTAAAGAAGTAATTATTTCGGTTGGTAGCTTCCTACACTAGTAAATACGTGTTCTGTTCATTTTCAGTATCTTGGCCGCCTCTGATTAAGGCTAACTTTTCTCTCCGCGACTACACGAAAAGGGCATTGACATTGTTTCAAAATAGTTGTACCTGTACCTTTATTTTGGGCCAAACTTTGCTAAGAACATAATGTGTTTTGGACTTATTCGGAAATAATCTGATAGATTAACAAAGTTCAGTTTGTGAATAAGTAATGCGGTCTAAACAAGGGCCTAAGAGTGGATATCGGTGTTTGAAACATAAATAAAGACGCCTACGGCCTGTCTCTCGTCCTTACAGAATTAATCTGGCGGTCTGTGGCGAGGGATCTAGGCCGTGTTCTTCTAAACAAAGATAGATGGCTCAATGGATTTATGTACCACACTGATTGTGGATTCAACCTCATATTTTGCCCTTGTATTAAGGAAAAGGAAAGCTGTTCCGTAATTCCGTCTAGATTTAATTAAGATGTTGTATCAATAGAGTTACGTATTGCGAATTGATTGAAAATGTCGATGACCTTTTACTAACGGTTACGGACGCTGTTATGTATGTAGGTACAGTTATTCTTTTATTACCCGAGTTCTCAACGCGATTAAATAAATAATTGAACAGTTTTAAAGTTCAATCGATGTGACCTATATTAAAATGAGTAAGAAATTTGGGTTCAAACTCAAAAGCATTTATTTCAATTAAACCATAATTTGGTACTTTTGAAACGTCAACAAATATGGAATAAATAATAGTCTGTCAGTCTGTCCGTCAGTGAAGCTAGGCGCTGTTTGTCATCTGTTATGTCATCTAGAATTCATTTGTTTCTAGAATAACTGCCGTCCTACATCATTAAGCACTTAACTAAAATCTTGTAGGACTCGTAATTAGGAACTTTTACAACTATTGGTGGACATTGTTTCTGTTAATGTGTTACTATTATAGTTGTAATGGACAAAACGTATCAGACGCCTACCTAGTACCTAAAGCAATTATAGGAAAATGTACACAGATATTTATTCATACTATACCTACCTACATAGTTACACTGTTTAATGGCCCGGACATGGGTAGATTTTTTGTTTTAGATATTTATAAATCAAATATGGACTCTATTCTGTAGACTTTAGGTAAGTACTTCCTTACTAAATATTGTCAATTGCTATTTTATTTTGTTCCCAGATGTAATGTGCCGCCTGTCCATACGACAGGCTTTTTGGGCGCTGGCGCTGCTCTGCACGCTGGCGCCCTCGCATGCCGATGGAAACATAGGTAAGTTTTCTTCAATTTAATAAAACAATATATGTAAGTAAGTAGACACGAAATAAATAATAATTTCAGAGGCTTCTAATTTGTTAATGAGGAACATTTTTTGTATTAAGTACACTCCTGTATGCCAACGCTACTGTACCTACTGCAGGGCATGCAACTGTCCTGGATTAACTAAAAATCGCGGGTAACTCACATTTTGTTTTAAAAAATATATATATATGAGTGTGTTCGGACTAGCTTGTTAAATTTACTACGATAAATAATTATTGCATTTTAGTTTCAAAATATTTAACAAAAAATAATAGGTAATTGGAGTACTAGAGAATGATAGGTATAGTTCATTTTTCTACACTACGAGGGTGAATCCGCGTACTTAAAGCTTATCAAAGGTATACAAGAAAAGAACATTTTAAACCAGTTAGATAACTAAAAGAGGTAAAGTTTAAAATAAATACAGGTACTAAGAATAATTCAGGATTACAGGAGATTAAACAATACTTTGTAAAGCCTTGAGCCGTATATGTATGTTTGTATTCCTATTTTATCGTAGTGAATATACTCTCAAAGCACTGTAAGCGCGGAATACCTTGAGCACTCAAGGATGTGTACTCAGTGATCCGTTGAATCTGTAAGATTTTCTCTTCAGTGTTGTAGGAAGCTTATTCTTGTTTCGATCATTTTGTTCTCTTGTTACTTGAATTGGTAGGTATAGATACTATTTATACAAATGTACATATCGTTGTTTTGTTTACCAATATCCAGTAAACAATTATTTACACTGGGAGCAAAGAAAGGAGCATTTGGCGGTTTTTAATTGACTTCATAAAAAGGAGGTTCTGAGTTACTAAGAAGGCTACCCCGCGATCGGCTGTACTGAATTTTAGTGGTTTTCAAAAAACTGATTTTTACACTTAGGATAAGGTTTATATTTATAAATCGACCACAAAAAAGAGGATTTTTTAATAGTAGTTTATAAATTAATTATTCATTTTTTGATAAATATTTCCTGATACAAGTGTTTTATTAATTGGTAACATATATGTCGTATCAAAGGCAATTTAGTTACCTTAGAGCATTTTGCTATAAAAGGAATATTTTTTTAAAGTTATGGGGTGTTCTATAAAATGGCAAAGGCAGTCATAGGTACCTACCTTTCATTGCTCCCAAGGTATACAATTTTATATGTAAGTATTGTTTGATTCGTTTTTAACTAGATTTAAAAATAAACAATGTTTTATTTAGAATATTCTTTATTGTCCAGGTTGCTTATTCAGTGCATCATTATGCGTGGAGGGTGCGGAATGGTGCTATGACGGTGAGCAAACTTTTAATGGAAAAACTTTTCACTACCACCTTTGCGCAAATGCGGTCGAGAGAAAACAATACGGTTGATCAACACTCGGAGTTCGTAAAATGGAACATTCCCGAATTCTGAGTAATTTTATTTCAATGAAATGAACTCCATTCACCGGTCATTACTGTAGTAATTGAATTGAATCATAAATTCCATCAAACAATTGATATTATGACAGTAGCCGTCGTTCCCAATACTTCTAATAATAAATCTGTGTGAAGTAGGTATTTTTATTGTTAAAGTTTAAAAATTAGTATTAGTGTATTTTTGTCACAAATGGAGTACATGTTGCAGCAACATAGTATCACATTAATATTCATGATGAATAAATGATTAAACAAGGACGCTATTAAATTATTTTAACAAATTACTGTCAACCCATCTACATTTCTATATATCGATTGAGCAGACGAATTTTAGGCGCAAACTTTTGTTGATATTTGTATCACATTCATCATTTTCCTCCTTTAGATTCCGCCTTCGGTAAATGCATACCGGTGTACGAGAAGGAAGTGGAAGAGGGATCGCTTTATCAGTGAGTGAATTATATTATTACATTCTTATCACACCTGAGACATGATCTATTGTCGATATCGTTCTTTAAGTTTTTACCTACAGCCAAGACTTTTTGCCCAAACACATTGAGCTAACCACAGAACATCTTCTTTATAATATGTCCTGTGGAGTTAACTATTTAAGTGAACACAATCTTTAGACTTAATCAGAAGGTAAGACGTTGATTTGTTTTCATACTTTATTATTCATTTACCTATGTGTTCTTTATCCAATATTTTTTGTTTATAAGCAGGTCAAGAATCTCCATCATCTCTTTTTAATAATGTCTATTTTGTTTAGGTATGACATGAGTTCGGAGCAGCTGCAATGGTTCGAGGGCGAGCTGCAGCGCCTGGCTTCGCGCGGCTACCGCTGGGAGCATGCATACACGCAGTGCGTGCTGCAGGCCATGCTCTACACCCTGCGACAGGAACTGTTAGTCCAACATATTACTATATTATACTTTCGCATTGCTTTAACAAAAGCTAGAAAGATCACAGTAAATTCAATAATCCTACATCATTATTCGATTTAGGGGTCGTGATGTTGATTTTACTTTTATATTACTTATTTATTTTCTAGCGATCCAGCCACTGTCAATACAAAAATATGCGACCATTTCGCTGATCCCAAACTAAGTTCTGACACCAGTGATAATCCCGAAGATAATGCTGAAGAAGTAAGTTACATTCTGCTGGTAAATCAAGAATTTATGTGGAAATAATAAAATATTGTTTTGAACTATAATAACACATTGCAGATTGACCCGGACGAGACGGCGTATGTGCGTTTCACGCCTAATTCCGCGATATCAGACTCAAACTTCGCAAATGAAGTTTACAATCCACCATTGACCCCCGATGATGACCCAACTCCATACATATCTCAAGGTAAAAACATACCATTGTTCATTGGGATGATGACAGAGTATGTACCGTTATTGTTTAGTTCGTCAGTCAGATAATAAAAAAATTATATACATTTGCTATTTATGAAAAGTCATAAAACAAATTCAAGTTTGTGTGAGCTCGCTACGTCATTATTACTAATATAGATAAATTGATCATTGCAAAAATATCAAATTAATACAAAAAATGAAGAAAAATTGTCTTAGTTAACATTTATGAGTAGGTAAACTGCCAGAAGGACCTTATGGTCTTTTCCTTATAGACATTTTTTTTATAAAAATGTCATCATTCCTGTATTTTTAAGAGTGAACATGAAATGATTTTTCTATTATTCTTCTCACAGTAGATGACGACCAAACCGAAGGCGAAACAGCTAGTGACAAATTACGTGATTTAATGATACTGGGTGGTAGTGAGGAATCCCCTATCATTCTGCCGTTTTCTGGATTCAGAGAGCGAATTTTAGCTGAAAAGCAGGCAAAAGCCATTGACAACGTAAACCCTGTGCCTAGGGTAATGATCGACAAAGCGAAAAAATCTTTCGAAAACGAACCCAACATGGCGTACGCTGATGAAGAACGAGTCGGAGCCCATTTCCGCAAGTACAAGACTAAAGCGCCACCTTTCACTGCTGAATTTATCACGAGCAACCGATTTTCTCCTCTAGACGAAGAGATTCGTTCCAACGCTCGGAAGAATTATAAACAAAGTTTTACTGAAAAACACTTCCCCTTCGAATATGAGAATCCAGGAGACATACCGGAACCGAGAGTCTACATTGATGAAGACGGAATCGATGAAATCCCCATTGATGCAGGTAGTGGCGAACTAGACCCTTATCATATCAAAGGTACACTATATATACAGATATATGTTTGTGAGTTTTAGTTTACTTCGATTTGTGATTCAAGTAATATTTGTGTATATTATAATTTATTGTTTTACAGAAAATTCACCACCATTAGACGCTGAACATACAAAACAAATGCAACAATATTTTATGAATTACTGGCGTGATGTGTTTGATTCTAAACAAAAGCCAGATGGAGCCGTTTATGCGGAGGGAGGGCCGCTTCGAGCGGAGGAGTTACAAGGTGAGTAATGTATGGCGTAACTTGATGCGTTAGCGGTAACTCCGTGTAAAGACGGCAATTTGTGTTGCTTTCTGCTTCGTTTGCATTGTAGGTACAACAGCAACATTATCTCACTCATTCTGTTTAACTACTAACGTAATAACATTTTAATTGATTTCTCTAATTTTTACTCCTCAGTTAACCAATGTGTTGTTTTAGTTCTTGGCTATTTTTTTCACATAAGCCCCTTGATATGAAGAACCCAACCCATAAATGAGATTTAAAGCAGACCGAGGGTGTTACATAAATACCGACGATGTTTCAGGTGAAAGTCCAAAATTTTATCCCGAGGATATTCAAGATTTGCTTGATAACGAATGGGGCTTTAAGCGTAGGGAAAGAGACGATGTTAAAAAGCCTGGGCCACGCCTGGACGCAAAAACATTAAAGATTTTATACCACAATAAATCAGTGACAGGTTAGTGTCACGGCGGCCTGAGATAATTGTTTTAGATCCTATCGATGTTCCCTCGAATAGAGTCAGGCTACAGGCTAGAGCTGCATCAGAATTAAAGTATATTTTTTACTACTCGCACTTCCACGTCTTGTATAGAACACCGCACTAAGTGTTTCCCAGCACATTTTGATTTATTGTGAGACACGACGCATGGGCTGCAATAGTCCTTTGTATGAACTGAACGTGTTGCCTCTGTATGATGATGGTATTTAAGTGTTTTATGGCGTTTCCTTGTAATCTTCGATGTTTTAATTTTGGGCTACACGTTGTGGGCCCTATCCTATAATTTATGTTGTCATAATATCAGCTTCAATGTCTATATAAGTATGTATATGTTCCATGTCAAACCTATGTGTTAACAACTTTTACCTATTAATTTTATGCGCTTCATTATTTCTTCTGACTCGATCACGCATGTATTATTATCATCGAAATGCAATCGTGATTGATTTAGAGGTTAATGACGAATGTGAGCTCCTTTATTGTTTGTTATTTTATCCCAGCGTTTGTAATAATCTCTCTTGATCTGCTATGTGTACTCCTTTGGCAATTATATTAATACAAAACTCCTCTTCATCAAGACAATTGCATGCTTCCAGTTCCATGTCGGTGTTGTCAAATCCTTCGATATATCAATACTTTTTCCTCTTTACATCATTTGTATGATTTTATGTTTTAGCGCATGGCGCACAGCCTGCTGAAAAGGAAGAAAAACCTGGGGACCATGATCATAATGACTTTGACTATGATCCTTCATACGCTTATGTCTTGTTCAAGAATAGGTAAGGCTTGAAATTATAAAGTGTATCAAAAACAAAATATAAATCATTAAAGTTACCTTCAAATTCATTTTGTGATCGGTTTGCCTCAGGTTCCTAACTGACTGGGAGAAAGGCATCTCATTTATTTCAAGACTAGAAGAAATGCTTGGTTTAGAGAAAAACACTTTTACAAATCCTCGGTAATTTTGATTGAATCTTCTTTAAAATATTCAATTTTAAATTTAAACTTTTTAGTAATTTTCTACTTATATTTTATTTAAATGTGGATAAATATATACTAAGGAAGATAACTAATTGTTTTAGGGTTGACACAAGTGAAGTGACGTTTAAAGTTGAGAAAAATAATAAAGGGTATAATGCTGTGGACGTAGCGCGCCACGTTGGTAAGACGAAGTGATAAAAGATAATATTACAGTCAATTTTATTATTGAATCAAAAAATTTAACACGGATAATATTTTCAGATGAAATTAAAGAAGATTTACGTCGTGAGACTGGTGCTCAGATACTTTCAACTGGTATAGGAGACCGAGTAAGTGGTGATGAGGGACCAAGCTAATAATATGATATGAGCAACTAGCTTCACTTCTAAATTTTTGTTGTTGACGTTCAAAAGTGCCATCCTGGTCTAATTGAAATAAATGATTTAGACTTTTTATTAAACGTTATTTTTAGTTAAAATGTGTAGTGTTGTTTTAAGCAGTCATCGAATGAGCAATGCCTTCATTATCACATCTACAATTTCAGAGCAAACGTCCCGTGAGCCACCACATAGATGCGCCAGAACCTATCCTAGGCTTGGACATGCCAGTACTGTCAGCTCTGATTGGAAGCCTGCTGGTATTGATAGTAGGAGCCGTGGTCTTTGCTGTGCTGTTAAAACGTGACATGAGTGCTAAGAGGAAGATGAACGGATTGTCTTCCGCAGCAGAGATTGACGCTGAAGCTACGCGGGATTATCAGGTAAGAAAGATAATATATAATTCAAAGATGACCAACATACTTTCACTTTTTTAATCAGATCAAAAAGACTTTTCGGTTTTTTTGCGCAACGATTACAACTTTTCGGTTTCTTGTCCATATTTGTTTCGTTTACATTAAACTTCACTTAAGTTGGAACTCTTCCACTGGTTTGTAAATTGAAAGAAGTCGATCAAGTCAATGTTTTATATAATAATGAATGGAGTTTGTACATCAACTGGATATTATAAATTTTTATGCTTTTTACTTTACAGGAATTGTGCCGTGCTCGTATGTCAGGCAAGTGGACAGGTCAGCAGGCGGCAGCCGCTCCTCCGCATTCCACAGAGCCACCGCAGCGAATAACCTCGCTCTCCAAGGAACCTGAGGGCAATTCACCTTCCACTCGGTCCAGCACCTCGTCTTGGTAAGAATTTTTCTAATAAGTTCCGAAATAAATTTCATTATCCGATCACTTGAAGGATAATAATGTGCAAGTTACATACAATTTTAACTTTATGTAATGGATATTCTGTTGTATTACAGGAGCGAGGAACCGGCGCTTACCAACATGGACATCTCTACAGGACACATCGTGCTGGTGAGTTGTTCTCACATCGATGCTTCATTGATCTACTAAATAATATTCTATATTGATTGTAATCGTTGCCTTTGGCAGGCTTATATGGAGGACCACCTGCGTAATAAGGATCGTCTCGAGCAAGAATGGCGTGCCCTGTGTGCTTACGAAGCAGAACCCTGTGCTACTACTGCTGCCCTGAAACCAGAGAACACTGGCAAGAACCGTTACGCTGATGTACTGCCCTACGACCATTCCAGGGTTACTTTGAACACGCTCTCGAACCACCTCGGCTCCGATTACATCAATGCTTCTACTATTGTAAGTCTCTTGTTTTTTTTTTATTAGGCAAGTTAACCAATTTTTTTATTTGTTCTTTTTTTAATAATTGATTGTAAAAAAATCCAAGCAGACAGACATAATTGTGTGGAACACATTAGTTTATTTTAGAAAATTGTACTTTAGTCTATTTGTGACCACGAACGTTGCAAAGTACACGATGCAATACGATTAAATTAGTGTAAAAATAACTAAGTACTTAATTAATACAGTTGGTAGAAATCTCTTTTTTCTGTGTGGTAATCTAAGATGTTATTAATACTGTTCTCTTTAATTTCTTTCATAGTTAGTTTCATCAACCGTGTTATCCCCCTATTGATTGTAACTTGCTACCGTTCATTCCATATTTTATTTCACTCCATTGACTTTCAAATCTAAAAACCGTCATTTATACTTATTTATAATATATTTTAACTTTCGTGAGACAAACTAAACTAACTATTATGTTTTTAAAACTAGTCGATTTCCTCGAGTGGAGGCGAAAGACATAATAAGTCGTCGTCATTTGTTTTAATGTTACATTTTTAATTTTGTTTTGCAGACGGATCACGATCCTCGCAACCCGGCGTATATCGCAGCAGCTGGTCCGATGGCCCACACGGCTCCTGACTTCTGGCAGATGGTGTGGGAGCAAGGCAGCGTCGTCATGGTCATGCTCACACGACTCACTGAGAACGGACAACAACTCTGTCACCGATACTGGCCTGAAGAAGGATCTGAGCTTTACCATATTTATGAGGTAAGTATTTCAATGACTTGTCTTATTTTAAAGAAAGTCTCGATAGCCTTCGTCTATTTAAACCCACAATGAAATCTAAAGAAATACAGAATTTTCTAAGATTGTTTTTTTTTAACATTGTCCCACAGTACGATTTTCTTCTGTGTCGTGGTTGCGTTTACAAACATACAAGTTCACATACACATCACAACAAGACCCGGAACAACAATCTCTGGATCACACAAAGATTTGTTCAGTGTGGGATTCGAACCCGCGACACGTTGCGCGGCAGCCAGTTTCCCAGCCACCGCACCAACCGTGCAGTCAATAATTAAAAAGTAATGTTAAATATTTCAGGTGCACCTGGTGAGCGAACACATATGGTGTGATGATTATTTGGTACGAAGCTTTTATTTGAAGAACCAGCGCACCGGCGAAACCCGCACTGTCACACAGTTCCATTTCCTCTCCTGGCCTGAGAACGGCGTCCCATCATCTACTAAGGCCCTTTTGGAGTTCAGGAGGTAAAAATATGTTTTCTAGATTGAGTTTATTGAAAGAAAAATCGAATATATACAACATTTTATTGTTAGGAAACGTTTGAATTTTATTTTATATTATTATGTATGGGATATAGGATGTATAGGCATGAAGTTTTAATACCAGCTGTGATTCAAATACTGGCCAGTGTAGTTGAAAACTCATACTTATACTGTCACTTATGTGTAATAAAAAAAAAGTTAAACTTTTTATTTTTTTATGACATTTACGAATAAATTGTTTGGTCAGAATTAATTATGAAGATCTACATTTTAAATGTCGTCCATATTAAATAAATTATTATTTATAATATTATAATCATGTTTGTAATTTGTAACACACACTCACTAGCCATTATTTCTAAAAAATGTTGCATTGCCATTTCACATGAATAAAAAATAAATCAACGATATTTTCATTGTTTATGGTATTTAGAAACATTTGGTGGCCAGAACTGATTTAAGAAAAATAGCTATTTATTACATTCTTGTGCTAAAAAAGGTAAAAGAAATAACTAAATTAATCTACATATTTAATTTGATTCATAAAAGTGAAATCAATATCTATATAATTGAATCACTGGCCATTATGGCTGAGAAAATCATCCAAAAGCCATTTAGATATATGCAATAAAAAATTACTCTTTTTGTTTTTTTATGGTTTATGGCATTACGAAGTATTAATATACAGACTTAAATAAATAATATAAAATTATACAATTATACCCAATGAGTAGCTAACATAATCATATTATTATACGTTCATTCATTATACAACCGAAAATGATATTAATTATATTTTTATAAAACGCTATCCAACTGCAAAAAGAAATGTTTCGGTGGCATTTATGATTGTAATAAAAAATACAAATTACTAATCTGTGTAATAATAAACCACAATATTTCCCAATATTAAAAAGAAAAAGTTGTAATAAATACTTATTTGCTTCTTTTTATTTTTGTTTCTAGAAAGGTGAACAAGTCGTACAGAGGAAGATCCTGCCCAATCGTGGTCCATTGCAGGTAAATATATTTCTATTACCAGATACGTAAAATTAACAATCTTTGACTATTATTTTTGTTGGTCTAAATATACCACATTACCACACGTATTGTAAAGCCATGGTATGACAAATCAATATGTAATATTCATCTGGTACATAGATTAAAATGTTTGTAGGTATCTACATAATTTTTTTTAGATAGTCATCAATAGCTTTCGACACTGGGACCTAGGACCTAGCGAGCTCCTATTCCTAAGCTTTAATTTTATTCGTTTATTCTAGGTATTTTGCTTTTTAACAAAACAAAATATAAGTACCTACTTATATTTTGTAATATACCTACTTATATTACGTAAGCATCGATTTAATGCATAGATAACCTTATCGATGCTTACGTAATTATTTTCATAATAATATAAAGTTATCATCCCTGTTCTATTTGACTATGCCACGTAGCAGTCGGACTGCTGCTACGAAGGTTGATATAGTTGTTCCTACGACAACTAGAATCAACAATATGAATTTCAAATTTTTATCAATGATGATTTTCAACGATTAGTTCTTATTTTATTCTTTGTTTGAATATCAATGACGTAGATAACTATTATTGATGTTACATCTATTTAATCATTAATAATTTAGGTATGCGTATACATATAATTGTATCATAATGTATACAGGAACAGATAAAATCAAGAGACGATATATCATAAATAAAACCGATTTGTGATCAAGATAATAAAGTTAGATACTAGATAATTTAATTAAACATAACATTATATCACGTATTTTACCCGAGCGTACGGCGCGTCGCGTTCCGCGCCCGTCTCAAAAAGCCACCATACCACCACGAATGGGGCCCAACAGGGCTGATGCCGATTCGGAGAGAACCTAACGGGTTACCGGGGCTCCGGCTCGAAGCGCAGGAGAAGGAACGGGGTGGTTTTCAGTCAGTAAGAGCCTGACACTCCCTCCTCACCCAGGCGGGAGCAGTGATTCGATGATTTTCCGCCCTTAAAAAAAATATCACATATTTTGCTCTCTAAACTAAATCAGTGCATGTTGCATGTTTGCTCAAGCAAAATGCTCAAACAGCACTATGTTTCCGGCTCGACCGGAGTGATATAATAACTACGTGTGTGAGTTAGGTTACCGAATGCCCAATCCCTCCCTACAACATCACCCAAATCCTCTCATTCCTCAAATCTTTAACACTCAAAAAAAACAGTCACAGTAATTAGGTACCTACTAAATTGAGAAATGTAACGTTACAGTGACGGCGCGGGTCGTTCAGGCACATACTGCCTCATCGACATGGTACTCAACCGCATGGCTAAAGGTGCCAAGGAGATCGACATCGCGGCCACACTGGAACACATCCGCGACCAGCGCACGCGCACTGTCGCTACCAAGCAGCAGTTCGAGTTCGTACTGATGGCCGTCGCTGAGGAGGTACATACGTAAACCTATATGTATATATACTTACATATTATTATTGTGCAACTGAAAAATTTGTTTGAATGCAGTAATCCCCGAAACTACCGGTTCCAATCTGAAAATTCTCTTTGTGTTTGTGGATAGCCCATTTAACGAAGAATGCTTTAAGTTAAATATACAAAACATCACGTTATGACTAATAGAAGTCTAGCAGCAGGTGAAACCGCACGACGGTTGTAAATGATGTCCATATAAAATCGTTAATGGTTCCTATCTTCCTTCATGAATGAGAATGAATATCATTTTTCAATGTTTCAGGTCCACGCAATCCTAAAGGCTTTACCGGCGCATCTACAGCAGTTGCAAGAGAAAAAAGACAAGGAAAAGGAAAAAGACAAAGATGGCAGTGACAAAGAAAAGGAGAAGCCTAACTAACCTACGCACCCGACACGAACATACGAACACGTTACGTTACTTATTTAACAATATTATTAAGTATTTACTATCATTGTGGAATTGATGTATTTCTGTCAACCCCGACTTGAGAATTTCGCGAGGCAAAACGAAATTTTGAACTAGGTTACATTTATTAGTATCATTAAAGTCTTCATTCAGATTAACTCGGTCGCTATATTAAACCCCAAACAAGTTTTCAGGACTGCATTACTTATCTATTGTTTCCCCACAATTTGAAATTCTTAACTTCGGATTGTCTACGCTTTGTGGCGATATACTGGAGCAATGCAAAACTAACGGCAAGGATCAATACTGACTGTGTCTACTTGAAGCGTGCCGCTAACTATAGCATTTATTTTTTAAAGAACGTTTTTAATATTTTCATAAGGTAACACACGAGCCTACTTATTATATTAAGAATAGAAAGAACACAAACTATTAAGTTTATTTATTGTTAGCTTTTTATTGGAGCGTTGGAGACATGGTCAATTGTTAGATTATCAATACTAGTGGGTCTCAACTGTGTTGCGAATCCTTCAGTTATTTATTCCTGTTTAGTTTATTATGTTACGTATTACAGTAGCTGAATTTCATGGTCAGCTGCTATTTTATGTTCTAGCTACGACTTTAGTTTTACTTTGTGTTTTATTGTCAAGCATGAAATGCGATCCTGTGAATTGATCTAGTCAGTTACAATCTTACTTAAGCCCAAAATTATATTTAGTCGGTTTATATTTAATGAATGTTTATTTAACTTGTACTTGGTTATTTTAACAATGGTCAGATGCCAACGAATATTAAATCTGTAGCGTTATTTTAAATAAATTTTGTTAAAGTAGTTATTTTCAGATATTGTTAACAATATTGTAAGTGAGTGGCGCTGGTCATTGTTACAATAAGTATCTATCGTAATGGATTGCTTTCTGTTTCGTCACTGTGTCTAAAAGTTTTAAGTAATATGTAAGTACATTGTTATATGTATAGATCTACATTTTGCAACTTATATACTAGTACTTATGACAACAAAGATAAGATCTATCTTTCACAATCATATCCTGAATCAACGGAATACCTGAGAATATATAATCAGATTTAAAAAATCAAAATAAAAATATTTACAGAGTGTAGCAGAAACCATATTCATACTACTACGTGTTATGTACGAGATTTATATAAGAATATATTTATTGCATATTAAGTGGAAAATGTAAAAAAAAAATAAAAAACCTACCCACGAAATTATGGATGTAGTATTAGATATAAGAGAAAATATATTTAACCGTATTTCTGTATGAAATTATATGTAGTTTTTATGTGAATGATTGAATAATGGATTTTGATTAAATTGTTTTAGGGAATAAGATAGAAGTATCCTAATTTCCCAAACTAAAAATCCTTTCTTCTTGAGTCTGTCACTAAGCAAACATTACCTAATTTACTACACAGTGAAAACCAAATACCATATAAAGGTGAAATAAGGTGAAATTTTTAGACATCTGTGAAACTCTTTAAAGTCTTATGTATTGGGCAGTTTGTCATCAAGACGACTGTATTGGTTAATATCAATTTCAGGGAGGGCTGAGAGTATCGAATGTTTAATATGTAGTGCACAACTGTGCAGTTGAGGCCTTGACTGGAAATTTTGACGAGTACATATTTGTAGTAAGGTAGCGTAAGTCTAGGTAGGTAACGTATCTTATCTACCTGTACGGTAAAATCAAAGTTTATGAATATTTAATGACTCGGTAGCTTTGTTTGTTATCATTATTAATAAGGTTAATAATATCGATAATAACAATTAATAAAGACCTATATCGATAGAGAACTTGATAAGTACGTGATGCTCGCAGGCGAATGTACGCAGAGATAACAAACAATTGATTTTATCAGGATCATTTGAATACACATTATCAGTTTACGTAACCGTCAGGTTATCAGATTCACAGCTCAGATACCTATCGTTACGTAGGATATTATTTTAAATCATTTACATATTCAAGTACACCCAAGATTGTGTCGGATTTTCCATTACGATTTAGGTAGGTACCTACCTACCTACATACCTACAAATACAAGAAATGTAGGGCGGAGGTGTGGGGCAAAGGTGCAAGGGTCATTAGACTACAAACATGTATAACATAGACAATTTGGAACATTTTCCTCTGTGTATCTCGTTGGTGGATTTTGTAATTTTGTTGAATGTCGGAGGGCAATATGAACCTATATAGTACCTACTTGGTAGGTGCCTAACTGACTAAGTGTTTCTACCGTATGTCGCAAGCGACAACTGCGTATGGATTTACGCATTGACTTCCAGGTGTCTCGCTGCTTAACACATTGGATGCCGTGTCGGACAATGATGTCCGACGCTAGCGGAAGATTAGCCTTTAATTAACAATTTTTGTCGGCAGTAAAAGGCAGGCTAAAATGAAAATGGTAAGTTAACGGTAAAAAAAACCTGCAAATTTACATAATTTGTAATTCAAAATTCTTTATTTTCTTATTTCTCCTTTACCTTCATTTCATATGATAAAACCGTAGTTAGGTGGGTAGGTACCTAAGTAGGTATAACCTATGAATGTCTAGATAACCTAGTCAGGCTTATTACGTTACATACGTAGATTCACTTTTGATTTAAGTGTTGAGGTACGTAAGTAAGTAAGCACTTAAATTAAACCTAACCTAAGTAAATGGTAAGTTTAAAGGATAAACAGAATTGAATTGAATTTGTTATGTAAACGTTGCCCGTGTCGTGGGGGCGTTTACAAACATACAAGTTCACATACACATGACACCCAGACCCGGAACAACAATCTGTGGATCACACGCTGCGCGGCAGCCAGTAGCCCAGCCACTGCGCCAACCACGGAATATAGTTGTATTCTATATTCCGTGGCGCCAACCGTGCAGTCAAAGAAGAATGAAGTAAGGTCACACATACATGCCAAATAAATGTCTATTTTGGAAATCCTGTTTAAACTGTCAAACACCAAGCGGTCACCGGTGACCGCAACCTATTGTTCTTTAATTGTGTCTATAAATACGATACTCGACGAGTTAAGGAACACATTGTAGGTACCTAAGTAGTAGGTAGGCACATAGATAACTACCCACCTATATTGTAATTATTTCGGTATCTATAAACAGGCAGGTAAAATTTAATATTGTACGCATTCGAACTTCAAATATATTTTTTATGGATAATCTACCTACAGTAATTAGGTAGATACTTTTATAAATATCAGTCAACTACCTCTCTACACAGATACGATTTCGATGATAAAGTTTCGTAACAACTAAGTAGGTACTCTGCATTCATGCACATCTTATCAATTTTATTAATGTTGTCCATATGTTGCCTTATGTACCTAATTAATATAATGGAAAACGATCGATAGTAGGATACATACATACATAAAAATAGTTTTTTGCTGATGACATTTTTTTCAATAGTTAACACACATGAAGGGGCAATCAATGCACGAATTTCATCATATAAGCAAATGAAGCACACAAGGAGGATGCTGTTTTTACATCATTTGGGTGAGCACTGAAACTTTTAAATGGTTTCAGACTCGGCGTACCTACCCAATTTTTGTATTAAAGTGATCTAGACAGACCTTACCTATCTTACCTGTTTTGTTGTTCCATTGTTTGTGTTATTTTAAGAATAGTTCGCTTTGGTTTGTCATACTAAAAAATATACTTAGATGATAATTTGTGGTACTAGGAACAGGTGAGATTAGATATCAGAACAATAAAAGTTATACGTATCTAAACGTAATCTTTAAATAGTTTAACGATAAGAGATGATGAAATAGTTGGCAACTCCTACCAGATGCAGATTTACGAGTGTCAAGTTGACATTTAATAAACTTGACGTTGACACTGTTGACAGTGCAAAACTACTTGTGGACGGATTTGTACGTGTCCATGTATTTTGTTTCTAAATAATATATTTCAAATATATTAGATCTCTAACTTTATAATAATTTACATAAGTTAAATTTCTTTAGTAATCTCAATAATTTGTAAGAAATTCAAGATGATCAACGGACGTGCTTTACATTTCGTGTTCAAAGTCGCCGACAGGACTCTAACTGCAAAATTCTACAGAGAGATCTTGGGAATGAAGGTATAGTAATAAGAAAAACAAGAAACATTTATTAAATATTCGTATTGTTAAATATATACACATTTGATTGTACAGAGATATTGAAAATAATCGTATTCAAAAAAGATCAGCATCACTAATTACTTAATGTTTAATAATGAGTAGTCTAGTAGTTTCCACCCAGTAACCGGTAAGATTAACCAAGGTCGTACGTACTGCCTTGTCACAGCCAATTTGCTGGCATTTGTGACTCAGTTTTTGTTTAAATGTTGTAAACTTATTAGCTTCCCAACAAAAAATCGTTAGACACTTATAATTAACTTATAACAATAGCTATTTATTTTTAATGTGGAATATTTATATTTGGTACTTATAAGAGAATTAAGTACAGTTTTTTGCATTGAAAGTTCTGAAGTCCATAGAGAAGTTATTTTTTGAAAATAATTTTTAATAAAATATGTGTTAAACCAATATCGAATTTGTATTTCACTCAGTTAAAACAGAGATTAAAAATATTGTTAAAATTATAGTAAGTATATCAAGCAGGTTATTGAACTGCTAAGAGACGTCAGTCCATTTAATAAAAAAAAAACTAGTCAGCCATGATTAGTACATGTATAGACAATCTAATTAACTAATGAATGTAACTTCCATACTTTATTGTAATGAGCATTACACTTAATTAGGTAATGAATACTTAAAAGATAGAAAATCAACTATCTGGGGACATATTATAGTTTTTATCCTCTTGTATGTTGAAAGTTATGGTTATAATTATGTTTTATACTGGTGTTTCAACAGATAAAAGGTTATTAGAGTTACTTACTAAATTATGGTTAAAAATAAACCTTACTTTTTTACAGGTTTTAAGACATGAAGAATTTAGTGAGGGATGTGAAGCTGCCTGCAATGGGTGAGCAATTCATCTTTCATTATATTTTAGTTTATTCAATTACTTATTATAATCACGAAAGTTTTTATTCATAACTTGAATTCTTTTTGTTGTAGAATTGGTTACAATGATAATTATTAATGGTTAAATAAATACATTACAAAGCAAACCCAGAGTAATAATACCTATGTTGAAAAAAAAGGATTAATTTCTATTCTGAAATTCTCGGTCATGTAAGTCATGAATGAGAATTTCATTTGTAACTAGAGATTAATAAATGTGACTAATATAAAATAAGTGGAACAGTGTACCTCGAAATGTTTACTCTCCAGTGAAACAATTGACACATTATGCCCAATGATATTATAAGTAAAAAGGTGTAGATAGTTTATAAGCGCTCAGAAAGTGGCACGTAAAATGTGGCTAAGTAGATTCATTTACCTCAGAGTTGCATTGTGCTGTCAACATATTCATGTGTACCATTTTTTAAGATCGAACATTATTTAGGTACCTAACCTAACTACGCATTTTTACTTATAAGTAGATATCATAATAATAAATAATAATAGATTGATGCACTAGTTTAAGTTTTCTTAAATATAACCCTATATTGTATAAGTGTAATCAATCGTTGGTGAGCCAAATCAATAAAATAAAACAAAATCACTGATTTTCCCTGTTGCTTTATATGACATTGCAAATAATATAAATAACCATTGTTCTTAGACCTTATGCAAACCGATGGAGCAAGACAATGGTTGGTTACGGACCAGAAGACTCACACTTTGTGGTGGAGTTAACATACAACTACGGTATCACACACTATGAACAAGGAAATGACTTCATCGGTCTCACAGTCCAGTCCAGTGAGAGTCTCAAGAGAGCTGCAGCTAACAACTGGCCGGTGAAGGAGCAGAATGGTCAAAAGTACCTTGAAGCTCCCGGTGGCTACAAGTTCTTCATTGTTGACAAACCCCAGCCTGCTGACAGAGGTAGGTTTATTGAGCAAATTAAATACTAGGATAACATTATTTACATGCCTACTATTGTTTGACCAGGTGAAATGACCAGGTATATCATATGGTCTATAGTCTAAATACCATATACCACAACACATACTAAACCTGTGTTGTCTCTAGTTAGAACTTTATGTTGAACGGTTATGTCTTACTAGCTACTTTCGGTTTCACCCACTCAGTTTGTCGCCTGTTGATTGTAGTGTAATTTTTATCGCCTATAAAAAGCTGAGGGTATAAACATCATTAATCGAAGAAGATCTCGATTAATGTACTTTTCATAAAAAAAGAATTTTTCAAATCAGACCAGGAGTTCCTGACATTAGCGCGTTCAAACAAACAAACAAACGAACGAACTCTTCACTTTTACACAATAATATAAACGTATAAGATAAGATTGAAATGACGAAGTGATTTTCTTTTTTGTTGCCAATGTACTTAACCCATTATTCACAAGTGGTAACCTGTGACTGATCTCCACTAACTACATTATAGACCTTATTTCCGATGTTTAGAGACTACTTTTAATGGACAAATTTAGGGGATGATATTTCAACAGGTTCCCTTTTACATATCAATATTTAAATTAAACTAGAGGAGACCAACATATTTTACAATGTGTATTTGTATTAAGATCTGCTTAAAATTTACGCCTTCAATAATTAAATTGTGTAAAGGTTTGTTTAAAATATATAAATAGAGGTATAGGTATCCTGGTATAAGTTGCAAACAACTCAAATAGCGCTTCAGATATTATACTTAGACATAAAGTAGTCGGGGCAGATCTGCAGAAGCAATACTCGAAAAAATCTATGTTCATTTTGGTCTAAAAAAATCTAGCGTAGCTGTTACTCAGCCTCAGCTGATAAGGGTGTACCAGGATATAGGTAACTAAGAATAAATCACTAGAGAAAAGCTGTAACATCATGCTTACAAATCAATAATACATGTACGAACTTGTTTTAGCTAAACATGTTTACCATTACCATACAGTAAACGAGTGATTGTCATCGATGATAATTATTATGAATTGATAAGATAGTGTACATACAATCTGGTAAAACATCACAGTCTGAGATGTTTTTTATCATGTGATGATACGTTTGTTTCGTAGATAAACTAGGTGTTGACGGTAACTAGGTAGGTATTCCTCGTGCGGCGATCATGCGATGGCAGCATGATTGCACAAGATGATTTGATTACAAATACCTCTCACTAAAGTACAAACATGCACTATAAGTCATATATGTATATATGACTGAATCATACAATACGCCTAGGTACTTGTTTCCACTGAAACGCCAGATAACACCATAGCTAAATAGTGTGTCCAATACAAAAATAAATTGCATACGGTCGGTCATCCATTACTGAGACGTAAACGTTTATTGTTGTGTAAATCGAATCAATTGAAATTGTTAATGTAGTCTACATCCATTAATTATAATGTAAAACTAGCTTCTGCTCGCGGCTTCGCCCGCATTCCCGAGGTCTAAAAAGTAGCCTATTTATTTATCTATGTTTTTTTCTAGACCATAATCTATACCTGTTCCAAATTTCATCCCGTTCCCTTCAGCCGTTTTCACGTTATTGAGTAACAAACATACGCACAAACACACAAACTCACAAAAATAACCTTTTATCCCCAGAGGGGTAGGCTGAGGCACATTACGGCACTTATTTCCACTGTATTGTTATGAGTCCCATGTAATAGGGGGTGAGCAACAAACTCAGAAACTTTCGCATTTATAAAAATAATGTATAAAAAAATGTAAGAAGTAATAGATACGACATTATATTTTACGCAATACAAGGAAACGTAAAATATAGTTTTATTATTAATTTTCTATCTGTCTACAAGACAACGTGAAAATTCGTTGTCTATTCTAAACTCACACATGGACAGTTAAAAAATCGAGGTATAATAGCGAATATGCAAAAAAATTATAAAAGTAATATATAAAAAAAATTAAGGAGTACCTAATAGATACAACATTATATTTTATGCAACACAAGGAATCGTAAACTATAGTGTTCTCATTAGTTTTCTAACTGTCTACAATACAACGTGAAAATTCGTTGTCTATTCTATACTCACACATGGACAGTTAAAAAACCTAGGTATAATAGCGAATCTTCATGGTAGATGTCCCACCCATTTGCAAGAAGCGTGTTCGCTTCGAGTTTCCTTGTGCGAACCGGTGAGGAGGGGAATTATTTGGCAGGGTTTCCTGAAGGGTGTCTTCAAGGCCCGAGAGGTTGCTTATGGTCTGACATGCTCCAGCATAGGCCCAATCATCGCTTTACCACCAGGCGAGATAGTGGCCAATCGCCGACCCATTGCATATAAAAAATTTCAAGTGAAAAGGGTTTGTTTGTCCAAATCTAGTTGTCAGTTAAGCGAAAGATTGTAATTAAACTATTGGCGACCATTAAATAACAAGTTTTCTTAAACACTAATGTATGGTATGTATTTTAATTCACAGATCCAGTAGTCAAGGTGTCGCTCGCCAGCTCAAACTTGGAGAAATCCATCGCCTACTGGAATGGTCTGCTTAGTCTGAAGATCTTTGAGAAAACTACAAAAACTGTCACGCTAGGCTTCGGTGCCGACCAGGCTAAGCTGGAATTAGTTGACATCGGTAAGTACATACCTTTCTATGATAGTTCTGCTTCTGAAGTGGTTTAGCCTAGGCAAAACTGGTTGGTCCTGAAATCGGATTTGGCCGTAACACGTAGGTATGTATATAAACGTGTCATGAAAAATATTTATATTAATTTATCAGTGCATCATTGTATTGATACTTCTGTATGTTGTAGTTGTGTATGTTTACCCAAAATAAACAAAACATTGCTTTTTATGTGACTGATAAAACCTAGATAGTCGTCCAATTAAATAAAGGTCACAATGAATTGTTAATCATTCACTTCGTCGTGAGTTAAACTTCTTTTATAAATTCAACGATATCTTGTACTTATTTTTCTGTTCGTTGTGTTGCTCATTAAATTATTTATTGATACAGAGTTCAATATTGCACAACACTAAATCCTAATGTTCACGCTGTGCATTAGGATTTTATCCTGTCAGTGCTATACGGAAGCTTGTAAAAATAGGTTATGTTGCCCGCCTTTTGAATTTATGTATGAATTAGGTGATATTAATATCCTGAACTCTTAGAAAATTGACACCACTAAGATGACATTTGAAAAATGTATGTAAAACATTATCAGAAATATTCCATGCGTTTCTGTCTAATATTGACATTATCTTTATGCGTTTTATCTGACATAATGTAGGCTACATGTCTAGATGCTGGTGAACTTTGGAAGCCGGAATGCCTAGTTTCGACAGTGCGCCTACCAGCACTAACACGAAGCGTGGCAGACATGTGACAATAGGTTTATCTATTCACGTTTTTGACAACATGTAATTTGATACACAATTTAACACTTCACACTTAGAGCGAGTGTTTGATAAAACCTTACGCATGGAAGGTAATTTCCATTCAAGGACCAAGAAAATGATAGTCAGCTATGACTAATGATGTTACATGTATTTGAGTTACAACTAGAAATAATACTTGCCTAGGTATTTCTACCTTAAGCTCTGTTTGCTCCTTACAAATAAATATTTACATGTTTTTAAGCATAAACAAATAACCAAACAATTTCAACACATAAAACTTGAAGTAACTGTAACCTGATTGTATGTACTTACATGTATGACCTACAATTACTTTGTCAGTACCTACCTACCAAAAATAAGTATCTCGGTGAACTTGAAAGTGTTCCAATTTGTAATTTATAAAAACCAGTTGAAACCATAATATGAAAACGGAAAGATGTAACGAACATTAATTATATTCTGTTTAAGTAATTAAATGTTTATTTTAAGTTGAATGAATGGTATATTGTTTATCAGTAACCAAACATGAATAACATAAAATTTATTCTATTCCAGGTGAGCCGGTGAACCGTGCAAAGGCATACGGCCGCATCGCTTTCTCGTGTCCATTCGACGAGCAGCCAATCATCGACCAGAAAATCCAGGCGGCCAAAGGCGCCATCCTGACACCTCTGATATCGTTGGATACGCCAGGCAAGGCTACGGTTAGAGTCATCATTCTAGCCGACCCCGACGGCCACGAGATCTGCTTTGTGGACGACGAGAGCTTCCGACAGCTGTCGCAGGTGGACCCCGCCAGCGACGCCGACCTCGACAAGTTCATCAAATCAGACAAGTCGCGGGCGTAAACACCTTCCATCCGTTTCTTACTTATCGGGCTAGGTCCAACATATTCTCTTACATTATTTCAACTCGTACTTAAGTTATTTTCCGCTTAGCGTCACAAGATACGAATTTATTGATTCTATGTATACTATGTATGCAAACGCTCATATTCATTGTTCTGCATATAAGAATGATAACAAATATTGTACAAATTTTATCGGCTTCTTACAATGTAAGGATAAGTAAATTATTTATTAAAATTTAAACCTTACGTGGTAGCATCAAAGCTCATTGCTCAGTGACAAGTACAATTTCAATAGCCACTTCATTGTTGTGATAAGTCTGTTTTAAGATATCTCTCTTCAGAATAGTTTAGCATTCCGTGTTGTTTTAAGTGGCTGTATAAGTATTATTTTGAATTATGTTAAACATTGTTGTAAAGTAATATAATATTGTATATGTTTATTATCTATTGTTGCGCCAACTACACAGCAATATGTTAACTAAGTTATAAGAATATATCGTTTAAATCCTACACTATTTTTATAATTTATCGAGGTCCTTGTAGTATTAAGATGTAGATAGATTACAGGAAGACAAATAACATGCCGCGATAAATTAAGATACTATCTAACTATAGTCACTATTTGTTAACCGATTTCTAACAAGAAGGAGGTTCTCAGTTTGACCAGTATTTATTTATACTTTATTGCACACACTGAAAAAATTGTATACATTGTAATAGTAATTTGAGTACAATAGGCGGTCTTATCACACGCGGCGATTTCTTCCAGACAACTTTATGTATGTATGTACTGATTGGCTGAACTGATTGTGATTCTCTTTTCAGAAGTGTTTGTTATACTTAGGAGAAGGTTTTAGTACTATTAATTAACCGACTTTCAAAAAAGAGGTGGTTGAAGTCGGTTTTTTTTAATTGTTTATAAAACAGTTTTATTTTATGAAGTAAGGAATGAGGTGATAACAGAATGTCAGGTAATGTTAGGTGATGAAAAATTAGAACAAGTTAATGAGTTTATATATCTAGGATCAATGTTTACGAGAAATGGAAAGTGTGACGGGGATATTGAAAGGAGATTAAAAGCGCGAAATAGTGTTAATGCTGCTTTACACTCTGTAATGCAGTAAAATAATATCCAGTAAAGCTCGACTTGCTTTAATACAGTGTGAGTTGACACCAACGCTTATGTATGGCAGCGAATCGTGGGTGTACATGGAGCTCTGAGTAGTATGTGTGGAGTAAAATTGAGAGATCAGGTGAAAAATAGTTGTTATTAGAGGAAGGTTATGGATTGAAAGATGATGTAGTGACAAGAATTGAAAAAGGAATGTTACGCTGGTTTGAACATGTAGAAAGGATGGATGAAAGTAGAGTAACGAAATAAGTATAGGTACCGACACGACATATATTGACCAAGTTGGTGATATATTAAAGAAGAGCCAAATTAAAAGTCCCTTAACCGACGAGCTTCCATGAAAAGACTGACGACAATTTTCAAGATAGGCAGAAGTCTAGCTTTAAATCCTAAATAACATCTTTAATTTAATTATAGAAGTGTACCTACACTATGATAATAAATTATTATCAACTTGTAGTCGAAAAAAGTATTTCAAATGTAGAGTCACCGACCCGCCGCCACTTTTCACCACTAGACATGTGAAAGAGACAAAATCTGTCAGTAAACATTAGCTAAAGCAAAAATAACTTCCCGAGCGTCTTCTTAAAGAGCCATCAGACCACCACGGATGAGGCCCAATAGGGCTGATGCTGATACGGAGCCGCGGAAAATTTAACGGGTTACTGGGTCTCCAGCTCTAAGTGCAGGAGTAGGAACGGGGTGGTTTTAAGTCCGTAAGAGTCTGACACTCCCTCCCGCCTCACGTGGGCGGGAGAAGTCATTGGATGATTTTCCACCCTTAAAAAAAACCATTGAGCAAACCTATTTCTGCATAAACGGTTAACTACCTACTACTGATCAAGGGCAGGTCCGTCTTCGACTACGCTGGGGCCCTTGGGCACACAATAATTCGGGGCCCTTGGAAATGTTTATTTTTTTAATGTTGCACCACACTAGGATTTTCTACTGTATCATGGGTGCGTTTACAAATATACAAGTTCACATACACATTACACCCAGATCAGAAACAGCAATTTGTGGATCACACGAACTGTTGCTCCGTGCAGGAATCTAACCAGCCACACGAAGCGCGGCAGTCGGTTGCCGCACAACGTGTAGCGGGTGTATGTCAGTCGTAGAAATTGTCGATCCTTCGAGGCCCCTGAGGTTGGGGGCCCTGAGCACGGGCCCTTATTGTAAAGACGGTGCTGATCAAGGGACTTATGCTGCTTTTCACCAACTTTCATTACATTTTAAGAAACTCAAAAGCTGAGATCGGCAACACTTGACGACTTGGTGACACATTTTCGTTCCACACATCCTATAAGTGAGATCCCAGCAGCAGTACAGGTAAGGGGGTTAGGTTGGGCGCTCCTTGAGGTAAAGCATCTCTTAGTTAGACATGGTTTAGGGTGGTTGGTGAAAACAGGCTTTAGACATTTGACAGAGACCGCGTAACAGCGCTGTCTCGTAATTCTAAACCTCGTACTATACGCCTTCACTATGACTCGCTTAGTCGATATAGTTATGATTATTATTGTACACTGGACGACCCCCTTTTTCCCAAGTCTTGATTACTGGCCAAAGGTTTATTCTCATTCTGAAATCACATTTCATTACATTCCAGAATGTGCGAAATTCAGATTCAGATTTCAGAAATGAGATTTCTATAAGATAAGACCGTCCATTGTAAAGTTTTATTTTAATTTTAATGAACCCTAGGGTACCGATCGAGAATTCGAAGATCAAAATTTCGCCCGGATTATTTACGATGCACTTCTGTAGATTCATTACAAGCACTTTCGTCCAAAAATAATGACTATGATATATCGATGAGTGCCCATGATAAAATCTCCTATGTGTGGTTCATCAGAAACAGCTAAGGACTTGTATTACAATAAAGCTGTCTAGACATAAATTGTAGAACATTAGTTTAATTTTGTAGTTAACAATTTTCTTATAAAATGCACAGGAAGAGAAATTATGTAAAAGAACTGATTTCGGCCGCTATTTTTTTTTTTTGAACATGGCGCGAGATACGTTTCAGAGACTTTGTACGTGCGTACAAAGATGCAAAATGACAATCGAAAAGAGTAAGTACATCAAAAATCTACAAAATTCTGGTTTTCAAAATTCCCGGAAAACATTCCAAGCAGAACGACCTAATTACGTAAAAGTATGTGATATGCACATTGCACAATTCGAAAAACTAAAAAACCTCCTACATCTGCCGGGCCTTGGAATTTTTGGGCATCAAATCCGAGACCCTTTGCTCAGCAATCGCGTTGCATCTCGATCAACGAAGCAGTCAATAATTTATCATTTTAGCCTAATATCAGTATTGTTTACCTAATTTTTTTATAGAATAATTCTTTATTTCAAGAAGCTTCCTTGCCGATGTCATAATTAGGTGAGTTACGGCGTCCAGGGTCCAATTTGAAGGCAGATTGGCGTGATAACGGCTACTTAGCGATAATCGTCTAGATATAAATCGCGAAGTGAATCGCGGCGAGCAGTTAGCGCGCCAAATGACTTGACCGTATCGATCAAATACCTCATAGAGTTGCGAAACGGCGGGATCGCGTGCCGCCGCGGCACAAACTAATGTAACGCTGCGGGCCTCGCCTACATCCGTGAGAGAAGTCGGGAAGTCCTGTCTGCATTCCGATTACAATCGAATTACATACTCCACTTAAAGCATACTCACGGCGTAGCAATTAAATAGCAAAGCAGAGCATGTCTATAACCACAGAACATATAAATGTTCTGTCTATAACGATGACAAAAGAGTATGTGCTGTTTGACACATGTTCAAAAGTAGGTATAATACACCTTACTTTGCATTTCCTGACAAGCTTTTCATCAACAGCCTATAAGTGGCCACTGCTGACCATAGGCCTCTTCTCGCACGGAGAAGGTTTGAGCATTAATTTGCTCAATCACCACCCAAGGGTGGTGATTGAGCAAGCTCAATGCAGGTTAGCGATTTCAAACTTATAATTAGAAATTATAAGCCCAGGTTTCCTCGTGGTTTCATGAAAATTATAAGTTGATAGGAAAAGTTAATTTAAATCTTTTTAACGCATTTAAATCGCGGTTCTAAGAGATACGCGTACGATGGAACATGTAAAATCGGAAGTACTTTTTTCATCATGATATTGTCCTATGCAGAAATTCGACGATATGTTAAACTGCGAGTATGAGTAAGAAGAAAATATCCCTCTGAAATCTAGGATACCCAGCATTCTTATTATTGTATTTCTAGTTGTGTGTTCAATGATATCGGTAACAACAACTAAATATATATATACATAGTATCTATGTTCTAACACTGACAATGACACACTGCCCTACCTGCCAGAATTCCAGCTATTAGCTAAGAATAGATGGAAATAGCAGTCGACCGATGCTCGTAAATCTAGGCAGGCAATAACTTGGGATGGTTATGCTAATATCTACCTATTACTACTTTAGTTTTGGAACTATCACTTTGGAGGCATTCGGAAATAGTGCAAGTGTCTATAAATGAGAATTTTAATTTTGTCACATGCCTGCTATTTTAAGCTTCGCTTAGTATAACTAAAAAATCTGAATGATTTAGATCTGGCTGCAGTGACAATTCTTTTAACAGTTGACAATTGAACTCGGAGCACTTACCACCCATCCGATTCAGCGACCTGTGTCGATTATGAATACTCACAACACCAGAGGAGTCACAATTATGTTGCTGGCCTTTTAAGAAGGAACACGTTCCTGAAGGTTTAAAAGTCGTATCGGTTCGAAAATGCCGCAGCTCAGACCACAGCTTTGCTGCGCGAGGCAGAAAGTTTCGGGAATACAAACAATTTGCCTGGATGGGACTGAAAGTAAAAACACACGGCTTGAATATAACTAAAAAAAATCATAGTTTTTATCACAGATATTTAATATTTCTGTGGTTTTGGAGCGAGAGACAATTTTTATTATGGCATAATCCGGTAATCGCGCCGACGGATCACCTGATGGTAAGCAATCGGCGTCGCCCATGGACACCTGGAACACCAGAGGCGTTACAAGTGTGTTACCGGCTTTTTGGGGATTAGGAGTTTGAGGATCGATGGGGATTCAGGGTTTGGGGAGATTGGGGAAGGGGAGGGTAATTGGGCCTCAGGTAACCTCACTCACACGACGAAACACAACGCAAGCGTTGCTTCGCGTCGGTTTTCTGTGAGGCCGTGGTATCACTCCGGTCGAGCCGGCCCATTCGTGCCGAAGCATGGCTCTCCCACACTTATAAAACTCAACAATGGGGAATACTTTCAATATTTTCGTCAAAACGGCAAATCGTCCGAAATTAACTCGAATGACCGGATGCCACATACATAAGTGATCTGAAATGACGTCTGAAGAGAAATAGAAAACTGATTGGACTACTTACTCGTAGAATTAAAAAAATATCATCAAAGAACCCATCAATCGGTAAGTGTAGTTATTTCAGTAGGTACGTACCTATAAGATCGTCAACGGTAATTGCCAAGGCAAACAAACAATATTTACTTCAACCCAGTTTCTATCTACAGACACACAGGTAACTAAAGAATTATTATGGATTGTAAAAGTATACTTTCAGTATTACCTAAGTACTTGCTTGTTAAATATTAATGTGATAAGGTTAGGTAAGTACATATCATTGGCAGTGCCTACCTAAATAGCTAGGAACATCTATGTAGATCCTGTGTGGGAAGCAACTTTCCTAAGTAGTTAGGTGCGCTATTTGTTTGTTTCTTTGTTGGATTTTAAATAAAATTATGTTAAATCCGTCAGTTGAAAAATATAAAACCTTATATAATTTTTTTCCGAATCGAAATGTTTCGACGAGATATTGATTTAATATCTACTTAGGTAATAGGTACGATGTGATTCCACAGAAAACCAAAGTAGGCGACACACGCAGCATATCAGGATATTTTTGCAAAAATGGTCAGAGTACTAGTTTCTTTTTCGTTTAAAGTAATCGTAACGAGTACACGTTCGGCGCTGCGATTGGCCGGCTCTAATGAACCAACCAATCAGAGCACAGAACGCCGTCTCGTTTCGATTACTTTAAACGAAAAAGAAACTCGTACTAAGGCCTCTGATCTGGGAGTGAGGCTGTGACCTCTCCAAGACGATACTCCTTTTTTTTAAAGTTGCAGTAGGCGGCTTTTTAAAGTTTTTTTTTAAGTGCGTTTACAAACATATTAGTACACATACACATCACACCCAGACCCGTAACAGCAATTTGTGGATCACACAAAGAGTTGCTCAGTGTGGGAATCGAACCCGCTACACGTTGTGCGGTGGTCGGTTACCCAGCCAATGCACCAGCGTGCAGTCAATGCTGCCACACTGCTAAACCCACACTGCACATTTTTTGTGGAATACGTATTTGGAAATTGTCGTTCCGGGTGGAACAATTTGTTGATCGTACAAAGAAATTGATCCATTGCAAAGCGGAGTATCACCCAGGCACTGCACCCACCCAGGCAGCCACCAAGGTGCTCGTATTTAATATTTTTTTCTTGCAAAATGTTGTCAGGCACTACTGTTACTGTGTGCTCCCGTTATTTGTGGAACGTACCCAGGTATTAGCTAACACAGGGGCGGCCTGACGAAATTGTGGGGCCTCTGACTATCAAAACAAACAAGGAGGCACTCCTAATTAATTAAGAAAACAATTTGCCAGAAAAATGTTATAGGATAGGTTATTCTTTTCTTTGCCCCACACTAGAAATTTCTCCTGTGTCGTGAGTGCATTTACAAATATACAAGTAGGTAATGTACCTACATTACCAAATTACGAAGAATTGTTCCGTGTGTGAATCAAACTAGCGATATATTACGCAGTACGGCCATTGGGCCAACTACATAATCTATTTAATGGGATTATAATACATAATATAAGTATATTATAACAAATGACGATTTATTTTTTGTTACCGTGAAGGTAAAATCTTGAATGCGGAATGCGGACCGATTACATGCTCAGAGACCTAGGCCGCAAATAGAGAGTCGGGTAAATCCGTCTCTGGACTTGCCGGATGAAAGGAAAGCTTATCGACCGCTATTGAAGGTAATGCATTTGTTTATAAACGAGTGATGAAATAAACAACGTTAACATCTACGTAATTTTTAAGATAATCTGCATAGTGGTGATGATTACTCATAGTTACTAGATAGGATATTTTAGTAAAGATTTTCGATATAGGTACAGCGCATGAATTTTCGTCGGTCAACGACATCGAAGTAGTGGGGATGGGGATCCAGTAAAGCTGCGTTTAAGTATTGTAGTACTTATGTATATTTTGTTTTTTATGTGTAGTCCTCAGATAGCGATTAATATTAGGTACGTACGTTGCCTAATCTGCAGCTGATTATTTGTTTAGCGTTTAGGTGTTCTCATCAATTTAGTATTAGATAGAAGAAATTTTAGTTATTTCATAGATGTTTATTTCGTCTAATTGGATTTTATATTTCTATAATTTAATTCAATCTAAGTATTTATATTTTAGGTTATTTTAAAAAAGTTAATTGTAATGTTTTGGTGGCTTTCGACGCAATCCACTTCCGTTCAAGAAATCTGTGTGTTTATCGGGCTGACTTCAATTACTATCCGCGGCTTGGACGGTATCACGTCGATAATAGATCCACGACCTGTCATAAATTTCATTGCAATCGAGGATCCGGCTGATCAATTTGGGTTGTCTGGGCGGGCGGGGGCGGCGCTGGGGCGCGTGCGCGGGCCCGGGCGGCGGCGGCGGGCGCGGCCCGGCGGCGGCAGTGCGCGAGTCGTCGCCGCCTGCCGCGCCGCCGCCATGGCCGCGCCGCGCCGCGACCGCTGACCGCAGCGTCGACCGCGCCCGCCACCTCGCGCACACCGCGCTCTGCCGCCGCTAGGTAAAGTATCGCCGACTCGCGGCCCCGTCTGCCAGCTAACCTCGCCCGTAGTGCTGGGCCGCGCTTTGTTCTGCGGAGTCGGCGCCGGGCTCGGGCGCCGCGCGCGCCTCGCCTCGCGCCCCGCGCGCGTCACCCGCCCGCCGCCTGGTTCATGACGATACGTAGGTAACGTTGTCGACTACGAAAACAGTTGTTATAAAATCCTTGCGGACTGTAGCTCAGGACGTCGCTCCGTTCCCTCTGACTATCTGGACTGTGCCTGTCGTATTCAACCCCGGTGTGTACCCGTAACCAACGGTCGTGTTTTGCGCAGCTGACTGCTCCGATGTTCTATCGGTTAGTTTTATCTTTTCTCTCATCTTAGTATTTACGTAGAACATCGCTAGAAGTTTAAGTTTCATGAGCACAGATATGTTTCAAGGCGGTAGTTAAGTATTTAAGTTAGTGCTTAAGTAGCGGACCTTAGATGGGTGTTACATAATGGAATATCGGTCGATCTCGTCGAGTGAGCGCGGCACAGCCACTGCGTTACGGCACAAGAAACTGTTACGGAACGTTGATTTTCTTCACACTGATTCGCTGCTGTTGATACTCGTTGTTAATATTCTGTTACGTTTACATGTATGTATGTGCTATACAGAAATGAAACTAGCTTTGTCCCCGCGAGGGCAACTAGGTTTTAGACAGACGTTAAGAGTTTAGGATACAGTAGGTAGTTGTAATTATCGATTAAGTCCTAGCATGTTAAGATGTTAGTAATAGTATAGAGATACAACTGCTTATTATTCCCAAAGGCAGTCGAAGAGATGCACACAATGGAGACACAGAGGTCGAGTTAGCGGTAATCAGTGTTAATTGAGTCGTAACGAGTCGCCCGGGGCCGGGTGTAGAGATGTGCGAAAGTGTCCATGGGAAGAGACGTGCCTCTCGTCCGGCGCGTGTCGCTCTGCGGGATCGTTGGCACCCCTCCCAGATGCGAGGTACCTACCACATTTTACTATCAACTCTGTGTGCAATTGTTACTTTCTTCTCCGTATCATTAACTATGACACTCATAACGCTTACGTGTTCGCTGTGGTCTCAGTATGGATGTATGAGTACAAGCGAGGTACTAGACTTCACTGTCAGTCACTGGATGTTCAATGTGTATAGATCGGTCTCCTACTCCGAAGTAACGTCGCTGAGTGGTTCTTTGTGTAAATTGCTTCAATATTTGTAGACGGAAGCAATTAATGGGCGGCAGGTGTCCCCGTCCAGGCTTTAAAACTCATTTGTTTGTGTGTGCATTTAATGTGCTTTGTGCAATGCCAAGAATGTTTTATCGTTAGTTTACTAAAATTAGAAAAGTTATAACCACTGAAACATAGTCGTCTTGGCTCCATAACATTGATTGAAAATTGAATGGTCTCGTCTACCTACTATGGGGGAATTAACAGTATCCGAAAAGTTTTATCAAAGTCAAAAACAGATTAAAGATGATTTTGCCATGCATGACAGAAGTGAGCCGTGTGATCGCGGCTAATAGAGATGACCTGTTAATAGATGTATGAAAGAAAAAAGGTGACCTTAATAACAATTGATCTTCATATTTTTCATCATTATGATTAAATGGTAGGTTAATTGGACCTACGTTAATGATTCTACAACAGATGATACTTCGGATGTACATACGTACAAAAATCTACAATGTTTACATAAATTAGTTTAAATCTTTTTGAATGAATTCTGTTGAATGAACGAAACCAATTTAAAATCAATTCCGTAAAAAATGTTAGAAATCTCACTCAAGTTTCGGTTCCATCTATCTATTTCGAGAGTTTTATTTTTTAAACATTCAGCGCAATGTACCTTGGCAGTTAAAAGAAAGTGTTTATTAGGATTATTTACGGTTTCGCAGCTACACGCCTGATTTACCCGTACGTAAACATTGCGTGGATAAACAACGGTTCAGTGTTGGCCCCTTAACCGCCAGTCAGTGGGCACTAACGCAATGTATTTTGCATAACCAAACATTTTTATTATCTGGTTAATAACATGCTTTTTTACGACCATCACTTGAGATTTCCGGTGATCAACTACCAGAAACATTTTTACTTCACGCCGTATGATTTTAAATGCGGTTTTGGAAGTTTAAATTACAATTTTATAGTTTATAGTGGGATAAATATGACTAGATCTATATGTTTGACTATGCCCTTCTTTCGGTACGGGTTTATTGGTCCTTGATATTAAATGAAAAAACAAAATTCATAGAAAACTGCAGTTTCTGACGATTCGGAATTAGTATCGAATAAGGCTAGTTGTTAAAGAACCAACCATTTTTTTTACTCTGATGTCTTAAGCAACTCCTCTTCTAACAATTCCTTTCATCATCATCATCATCATCATCATCAACAGCCTATAAATGCCCTCTACTGAGCAAAGCCTCTTCTCACACGGAAGGTTTGAGCATTAATCACCACGCTTGCTCAATGCTGGTTGGCGATTTCAAACTTACAATTAGAAATTATAAGCCCAGGTTTCTTTACATTTTCCTTCACCGTTTCTCAGTGGTGTCCGAATAATCTTAGAAAGTACATATATTTCGGAAAAAGTCATATTGGTACTTGCCGTTGGTAGGTTTCGAACCGACACCCTCATGCATGAGAAGTTTCTTCTACCAGGCGTCTCAAACCTCCGGACCACCACGACACTTAAATAAGTGGAATATCTCATCATCATCATCATTAACAGTCGAAAGACGTCCACAGCAGGCCTCTCTTCTCCTCTCCGAGGTGGAGAACTAAATAAGCCTGTCGGATATCGATAACTACCTAACTACTAAATTTAAGTGGTAGTGCAAACCCTTAAGTTAATAAAAGATTTCTTGTTTTCTGCTACCATATTAAAAAATTGCGAAACTTCATCACATATTGCATCTTGGTTTATATGCCACCGTACATAGCTGTATATTAAGTAAACATCTATTGAAGCGTGGAATCTCTTTCACTTTCATGAATAGTCACTATACATACATATTTCTCAATGAATAAAAATACCGATTGTAACTGATAACATATCTGTAATTCTTTACCAAGTATATGAATAAATATAGGAGGGCTTATCGCAAACCTTTTACAAAATAGATGTAGCTACTGAAGTAACTACTTGAAAGAGTGACGTCTTTCAATTTCAAATTCATCACAATATACGTAGGTACTGGTTCCACATATATATGGTGACTCAAGTTCAAAAGCATTTATTTCAATTAAACTGTCAAACACCGCGAGGACACCGGTGACCGCAACCTTTTGTTCTTTAATTGTGTCTATCTATAATGACGGTACGACGGTACTCAAAGGGTTAAACCATAATTTACCACTTTGGAAACGTCAACAAATATAAAATAAATAATAGTCTGTCAGTCTGTACTTCAGTGAAGCTAGGTGACTATGTAAGTAATCTAATTAAAGTAGATTTAAGTATTATTTTTGTAATCTTTTCCCATCCAAAATATTTGCTAACTAGCTACTTCCGCGCGGTTTCACACGCTCTGCTCAGCTCCTATTGGTTGTAGCGTGATGTTTTATAGCCTATAGCCATCCTCGATAAATGCGCTATCCGACACAAAAATAATTATTCAAATCAGACTTGTAGTTACGGAGATTAACGCGTTCAAACAAACAAACAAACTCTTCCGCTTTATAAAATAGTATAAGAGTATAAGATGACACGCACATAATTCCCTAAAGATGCAACCTCATCTGGACTAATCCAAAATATTTAATAATATTAGTTTTGAAATTACCTAGGATTAGTAACCGTTTGATGAATGACTGCCTCATTGCTCTCAGTGGTCGCAAGTACGAAGGGATCTCGGGTTCGATTAAAAAAAAAACTAAATAATAGCACGGAGTCTGGAAATGTTCCCATTATATGTCATTAGGCTCACCCCCTATTACATGGGACTCATAACACAAAAAGTGAAAAGTGGGTGTTACATTAGCATTAAGTGTTATAATGTGCACCTCTGCCCACTCCATCGGGGATAAAAGGCTTGATGTTATATTTGTATGTAATAACCGTTTCTCCCTACTGTGTATAACTATACTTAAAAATGAAAACACGTACGCTGCACAAAAACTGAAACATTCCTATTTTAGAGTTGATAAGAAAAAGCGAAATTCGTTTTCTTTGATGCATTGTAGAACCTGCAATATAAAGGTTTCTTACATAAAAACCCATACATTACCGACGACCCAACCGTGACAGGTAGGAAGTCATGAGTACAATATATTCCGTGTGGAAACAAGCAACAATGTATTTTGCACTTGACCATATGTCATTGAGGTTTGAGATTTTCTCTAGTGGATGCAGCCAAATTAGCACAGTCCATTATTAACTAAAATCGCGGGTTACTCACGTGAATATACTACGAAAAGCTCTACTAGTTTCGAACCACAGAGGGGTTCTTCCTCATGAGCAGCGTGCGCGGTCGCGGCGACGACGTCGCGCAGCTCAGTATATTCACGTGAGTAACCCGCGATTTTAGTTAATTTAGTTTGTCTCACGATAGTTATTATAAAAACACAGTTCATCATTACTGGAAAATGGGAAGAAGCTAGGTTCTTTCTTTATTTAATTATTCTTTTCTACCATAAAGTATATCGAGGGGTAACGGGCTATTTGGTTTAAGCGACATTTTGGGCGATATTGAGTTATATATATATTCGGAATCAGCGAATTTTTCTCCGTCGAATGATGCCGGTTTCATTAAAATCGGAGCACTTTTTTGGCGTTTCAAACAATTCTATTTTCATGTTGTTTCCAAAGTGGCAGTGTATTAAACGACATGGATTTCGCATTTTTTATTAAATTATATACTTGAACCATACCATCATATTAATAACCGAGACATAAACCAGTCACCCTATTTCTAATTATTAAGTCAATATGAGTTAAAGCGTTTTTCTTGTTTCTAATTTTTATTAACAAGTAACTTGAAACATTTTGACTTCCCACTAATCACACGGTGTGATGTCGCTTAAAACATTTGTCCGTCATCCAAATGCGTCATGGTACGTCTCTTAAACATTTCTAGCTGCCTCTATTTTCTACGCAGGGTGCTACTTAAACCAAATAGTTGTTTTCGTTCAGATATTTTGTTTAGTCATAAACCATTTAACCCTCATTTTTTTTTAAAATGCATGTCGTTTTATACAGACGATAACATTGATAATGAATATTGAAACATTTTTCCAGTATTCATAGAAATACGAGTCGGTCTTTCAATCACTAAGTTTTAATATGGTACATTTCAATCATGTCATATGATACCATATTTATTTCATCGCCCTGGTGTTAAAAATCGTTATCATCCAACTGGACTATCGTGCGCTGGCGCTTCAATCACTCCAGAGTGCGCCGAAGACAGACGGGACGCGCGCACACCGCCAGTGTTTACCTAAAACGCTCATCGAAATTGAATCCTAAGTACTTTAATTTCAAGATAAACCTCGCGGTCGTTCGAAGACTTTGGCAACAATGACAATTTAAGGGCTATTGTGGAGGTTGATGACATACAATCTACGGCTGATTAAGCAGCAGCTTTCGACGTTAGCGTCAAAACAATATTGGTACATTTGCGTCAAATTGGCAAGGTAAAAAAGCTTGATAAGTGGGTGTCCCACAAACTAAATGATCAACAGAGCTAAGTATGCATCGAGCAGTGCGAGGGGGACTGGGATGCCGTCTCCTCCTTTTGCGAAGCAGTTATGCTAGCTAAGGAGGAGGCGGGACGCGTGAGGTAGCGAAGCGCTGGCTCCTCGCAACCCAGCCATCGCGAAGGACACACCTGGCGTCGGGGATCGCGGGACGATCTCCAGTTACCGTAAGCGCGGGCCTGCGGACGGTGAGCATGGGTGGCTCCCCGTCCGACCAGAAACAGACCCGAGCGTACGGTGCCGAGCGTTCCGCGCGCGCCTCAAAGAGCCATCAGACC